AAAGAGAGAGAGAGAGAGAGAGAGAGAGAGAGAGAGAGAGAAGCTAGCTGGAGATGGAGAGATGACTGCAAAGTTAAGAGTGCTTGCCCTACAATAATGAGGACTGGAATCCAGATCCCAGATCCCATGTAACAAGCCAATGTTCCCCACAAGCTCCTATTACCCCAGTGCTAAGTGGATGGAGACAGGGAGATTTCTGGGGTTTGCTGGTCCCCAGCCTAATCAAGGGATAAAAGCCAGGTTCAAGAGACCCTGCCTATGGGGTACAGTTAAAGAGGATGTAAGATGTCCCACACTCATTGCTGGACTCTATGTGCATGCATATGCAAACTCGCACACACAGAGACAAATGAAAATCTCTTATTTAAAAAAATTTTTTTTCTAGCAATCTGGTTTAGTGGGTAAAGGCACTTTGCCACCATTCCTGAATTTAACCCACCAACCTGGGTTAAATACTCAGGACCCAAATGGTGGAAGGAGACAACTACCTCTCACAAGTTGTCCTCTGACTTCCACAGATGTACTATGAACTATACACACCTACACAGTAAATAAATGTATTTTAAAAAGTTTAAAGCCTAACACAACACTATTCACATTTAATCTCAGCACTGTGGAGGCAGAAACTGTGAGTTCTAGGCCAGCCTGGTCTACCTAGGGAGTTCCAAACCATCCAGTGCTACATAGTGAGACCCTCTTTTTAAAAATATTAATAATTTTTATAGAAGGAAAGTTGAAGTCAAAGGACTTGGGTTCAGTTCCCAGCCCTACATGACAGCTCACAACCATCTGTCACTCTAGTTCCAGGGGATCTGATGCTCTCTCTTCTTCTAGCCTCTGCAGGCAATGAGCACACTATGGGATACATATATAACTGGAGGCAAAACACGCACAGACATAAAATAAAATAAAATTACAAATAAATAAATGCTTTTTTTAAAGGGGGGACTTAAAATATCTATTAATAGAGGAATAGCTGAATAAGATAGGGTTCACTCAGGAGGCAGAGGCAGGCGGATCTCTGTGAGTTCCAGGCCAGCCTGGTCTCCAGAGCGAGTGCCAGGATAGGCTCCAAAGCTACACAGAGAAACCCTGTCTCGAAAACCCAAAAAACAAAACAAAAACAAAAAAAGATAGGGTTCAATGACTCCTGGAGAACAGCTTGGCAGTGTTATATGTATGTGTATGTGTACATGGGTGTGGGGGGAGACAGAGGGGGAGGGGGGAAGAGGAAGAGGAAGAGGGAGAGTGTGCACCAGCCAGCACTGGGCTGATGTTCAGTAGCAGAGTGCTTGCCTCACCCATGCAGCTTGGGTTCCGTGGCAGCACCACAAACACAAACTGAAACTAAAACTAAACACGCATCTACCATGTGAGCTTGCAGTAGCTCTTGAGTGTTCATCTGAGAGATAAAAACCTGTGTTCACACACACACACAAAAATCTGTATACAAACATTCACATTAGCTTTATTAATAATATCCCAAAGTTGGGGGGGAGGCTGGCAAGATGGTTTCAGTGGGTAAGGGCACTTGCCACCAAAACCTGGTGACCTGAGTTCAGTGCTTGCAGCCCACATACAGGCTAGAGAGAACCAAATCCATGAAGTTGACCTTTGACATCATCATTATTTCAATGGCATATGCACACACACACACACACACACACACACACACACACACACACACACACCATGCAACTGTATGTAGCACAGCCATGCCATGAGATGTAACTCAGCAATGCAACGAAATATGTTTCTTTTAAAAATCTATATACTTGCCAGGTATGGTAGCTCATGTTATTAATCCCTGCACTCGGGAGGCAGAAGTAGGAGAATCTCTGTGAGTTCTGGGACAGTCTGGTCTACCTAGTGAGGCCTGCCTCAATAAAAGCCAAAACAAAAATCAAACAAACAAACAAACAAACAAACAAAAAACTATATACTTAGATGGATCTCAAAGGAATTCTACTGAGTAAACCAAAAAAAAAAAAATCTCAAAATGTTGAGAGAATGTGATGTGACTAGCAGAACATGCTTGAAATGATAATTACAGAGACACAGATGAGATCAGCGGTTGCCACAGGCAAGGGAGGGCTCCTGTGCGTCTAGGAAGGGGGAACGTTGAGAACCCATGTGGTGATGGAGCAATTTGTGCTGTGACTGTGTTGGCTGTTCCAGGAGTTTACATTTGATAAAGTGCATAGAACTCAATCCTCACCCACACTGTACTGGTCTTTAAACAAACATGTATCAAGCTGGTGATCTCTGCGAATCACACCAAAGTGAATTTCTTGGGCTGGAGATTACACTATAGGTGTGTAAGGTATCACTATAGAACACTGGATGAAGAGCACACAGAACTTTTCTTAGGATTTTTTTTTTTTTTTTTTTGGCAAGCACCTGTGAATTTGAAACTTTCTCCCAAAATTAACAGTTAAAAAGGAAAACCAGAGACATAACTCAAGTGGCAATTGCTTAGCAAGCACCAGGCTTAGGTTTGATTACCAGTGTTAAGAGAGTACAGTGAATTAAAATTTTACTTTTTAAAGTTAAAAGTGAACACATCATAGCATTTTGAGACTCTGAAAGTCACACACACACACACACACACACACACACACACACACACACGGACAGAGGTGAGGCTCAGTGGCAGAGCACTGTCCTAGCATATGCAAAGCCCTGGTAATCTCCAGCACTAGAAGAGAAAAAAAAAATGGTTTGGGGGTTGTAAAAACTGGGGCCTGAAGAGACAAGCGGTCAAGCAGATAAGAGCACTGGCTGATGTTCCAGAGGACACAGGCAGCTCACAACCACCTGGAACTCTGGCCCCAAGGGATCCAGCACCCTCTTCCGACCTCCCTGGGCACCAGGCTCGCAAGTGGTGCATAGACATATATGCAGGCAAAACATCCATACACATAAAATAAAATAGTTTAAGGCTGTAAAACAATGTAATCCCATCCTTCCAAAAAAACAAAAAAACAAAAACAAAAAAACAAAAAAAAACAAGTCTCATTTCTTACATGTGCGAAAGCAGGAAGGTGAGGGAACCACAGCACTGCTCTGCTGCCCTCGTGTATGTGCCTAAGGTTTGCCCATATGCTACACTTGCACGTCTCTGTTTCTATTTACTTTTTGGACAGCTTAGATATTTACATCTTTCAAATATAAACAGTAAGTAAAGAAATAAATACAAAAAGCAGCCCTCCATTCTGCAAGCCCAGCTGCTCAGTCCCGGGTTAGTGGCCTGCAGGATACTCCCTTTCTTGGAGTCTGCTCAAGCTAGCTTCTAATGTTTCTTTATGCAAATATAGACAAATGAGACTTCTCCCATTTAATACACAAAGTGGAGCCTGGGCTGTAATGTTCTGCCTTAGGCTTTTTCTCTTGAAAACACATCTGGGAGAGTCTGCTACAGCTGTATCCAGGGATGCCACCTCTTCAGCTGCATGTGCTAATGTTATCTTAGGGAAGAGTCAGGATTTATCTCACAGTCCTCTGTTAATAGCATCTAATGGGCAGGGATTCTAAGCCCTCTGGCCAGTTCTAGTCTTTTGGGCTTACAAACAAGCAGCAAGGCTAGGGTGTTGCCCATTGGCAGAGAGTTTGCTGAGCATGACCAGGCCCTGGGTTCCATTCCCAGTGCTGCAAGAAACAAAAAACAGTTGTCACTGTGTGCATCAGTTCCAACGTGGGCAGGTTCACCATTTGTGCATTGGGGTACAATGTACCTATCACTTTCTAGGAAGTTTCTGTAGTAAGAAAAGCAACCTCTGTCTATTACATGAGCACAAACAGTTCCTAGTTTGACAATTTTTAACATCACATGATCCTTTATTTTGTGATGTAGAAGCATCATTTTTAATCTTTTGTTTTGTTTTGGTTTGGATTTTGAGGCAGGGTCACACTGTGTAACCTGGTCTAGCCTCATTATGTAACAGGCTGGTCTCAGTCTTAGTATCCTCCTGCCTCCACTTCCCAAGTTCTGAGATCACAGGCATGCACCACTACACCAGGTCTTATGTGGAGCTAGGGATCAAACCCAGGCCTCTGTGCATGCTCAGCAAAGCACCCTACAAATGGAGCTACTTCTCTAGCCTACAGTTTTTCGGGATACTATATTAATATATAAGACAGCTTAAGAGAGGACTAGAGCTGGGCTGTTGATTGCATGATTCACTTACCTTCTTGAGACTCAGAGAAGGGATGTGGGGCAAGCTTTGGGAAGACTGAGGAGGCTTTGGAAGGGACAACATGAACTGTTTCCAGTGAGACAGTCAGGACCTGGCAGTACAGAAGACCTCAGCTGGTGGAACTATTAGTGGAGAAACTGAAATCCAGTGGACAGAACAATTTGACCTTGAGGGTCTGGGCCCTAAGACTTGATTCCCAGACCTTTGCCATGCTGTTCCCAAGCAGACACAGAAAAAGGAGCAGCCTGACTCCACATGTCACTATAAAAATCAAGGTTGGAGCAAAAGTCCCTTCTACCCCCAAACAGACAGGAGCTGCGGTTTCTACCTCACTCCCAGGAGCAAACCACTACCTTTACTTCTGCCTGTAAACTTCAGGTACCCTTCCTGTCCCTGCCGAGCAGGACGCATGCACCACCACCCTGTCTCCTCAGCCATCAGGTCTCCACTCTGCAGCTCATCTCTTGAAGCCCCCTGGGAAACAGGAATTCCTTTCCTGACTTTCCAGATGGTTCCTGGAGACTGCAAGACAACATTAATACCACGAAAGCAAAAGGTTTGCTTGGGGTTCAACAGCAGCCCTGTAGCCAAGCTAGGACCCAAACTGAGCTCCAAATTCTAAGCCAGCAGCAGCAGCTTCCAAGGGTGGCTGGAGAGCCGAGTGGCAGTAGACAAGAACATCCTATTTTAGGTCAACGAGGAGATTAACATATATGTGAACAAAGGAGAGTGTAGAAAGTTGTGGATTTAATACACAGTTCCACTGTCCAGTGCCTAGGCTGTGTGACACTAGGTTAAGAACTTGGCCTCACTGACTCTCCAATTTTCTCATGTATAAAATGAGACCAATGAGACCAATTTCCCAGGAAGAACTCAAACAACCCCTTCCGGAATCCTTACTTGTGGGAATCAGACCCTGCCTTACTTAGGTCTAGTCCTCTAACCAAAGGGCTTCAGCAGGAATGCATCTGTGCATGAGGCTGGAGAGCCTGTTTTCTTCCCAGAACAGATCGTGTACCCCAGCAACAGCAGGACATGCCCAGTACAATGCTCCTATACATACATGGTCCCTCAAATGGCTACTGCTGCCAACCACAGGTGGGGACCCTGCCTCTGGCTTCTTCTAGCTGCCTCTGGTGAGGAATGGGCCAGTGCGTCAGCAAATCACAGCTCAGAGAGATGCCACTACGAGCCTGTGTCACAAGTGGCCCAGGAAGGCCACAGTAAAACACCAAGGAGTCTGGTCCAGCTTATCTGGAGGCACTTTCTCTTAGACACTGTGTGTCCAGGCTGCTCAGGAACTTCACCAGCTCCAATTTGCTGGGCACAGGCTCTGTGCATGCAGAGCCTCTAACAATCCACACTCTGTCACTCAAGACTTGATGACAGAACTCATCTCATTTTATATATGAGAAACTGGGGTCCAGGAAAGGTAGGCCCTAAAACATAACCATGCCTTGACTTTAGCAGCCACTAAAATCAGGGGTGTCTTTGGAATTGGAAGGTAGTGGATCCCTTGCTCAGTACCCCTAGGATTTCATGAAGCCTGTACACCTGGGAAGGGGACTGTGGGGTCTGTGTATGGGGACCAATGGGAGGGATTGGAGAGGTCTAAGGGACTAACCTGTGGAGCTGCTGCAGCCACGTCCTCCTCGATTCAGTCCTCCAGCATCTGCAGGGAGAAAAGGAAGTTGGGAGGAGCTGAGAGCTGTGGCTTTTCTGTTCACCTCAGCCCCCTTGTCTCCTGGCTTCTCTGGTCTCACTTCACCTTCTGCTCCTGCCTTACTTCTTCTTTCGTGGTATCAGCCTCTGTTTCCTCTGAGCTGTTGGCCAGACCAAGGTCTCCTTGATCTGACTCTGGGGCCCCTCCTGCACTTCCAGGGGCAGAGTGTGTACCTCCAAAGAGATGTCAGGAATCGCAGCACGGTACTGTCCAGGGCAAGTTGCTGGCAGCTCTGCACCCTTGGGCAAACTACGGCTCTTCCTTTAGTCTCAGTTTCCCCATTTATAGGAAGAGAAAATGGCCTCTGACTGACTTGACAATCCACAGGATTGATCCAGAGACCTGAGGCAGGGGCTGGGAAATGTTGCCTAGG